GCTCGTGCACTTGCGAGTATCACAAGTTGAGGATGCAACTGAATCCATTTTGGTGCAGCTGTATCTACACAACAATGCCCACTCCGCTTCTCTACAATCTCTCCCCATTCACTCAACTATTTGGTGAACAGCCCAATTACTCTCGTCTTCGTACCTTTGGGTGCTTGTGTTTTCCTTGGTTACGTCCTTACAATTCAAATAAATTACTTCCTCGTTCCCGCCCATGTCTCTTCCTTGGTTACTCACCTAATCAAAGTGCCTTTCAGTGTCTTGATCTTTCCTCCAACAAAATTTTTATCTCTCGGCATGTTCAATTTGATGAGTCCACTTTTCCTCTTGCCAACCTCCCTTCCTCCATTCCCCATGTCACTGTTGATAACTCTCACACTTGGGTCTCCTCTCTTCCTCCAGTTACTTATGTTCCTGTACACTCACCCACCATGCCTGTTGCACCGGTTGTCTCTTCTTCGATGCCACCACATGTCACATCATCATCATCATCATCATCAGCTGCGCCCGTCTCGGAGCCGTCCCCATCAGTTGCCCTGGCCCCTATTGCTGCTGTTGTTGCTCCTCTCTTACCATCACCCAACCCCCAAACCTCAGCCCCTACCTCCACCGCACCCATAATCACCCCACCCGCACATTCTCCAGCCCAAAATGACCCAACCCAGCCACATTCCCACCTTAGCCCAATTCGTACATACACTAGAAACCCTCATAGGACTGTTGTCACCTTTCCATCCTCTGACCCGCACCCTTCCAACCCCCCCATACCCCTTGTGCTCCCCGATCATTCCATGGTCACCCGTGCCAAAGCAGGTATCCACAAACCTAATCCTCGATATGCTATGACTGCTACTAAACACCCCATTCTCTCCTCCATTGAACCGACTTGTGTTTCCCAGGCTGTCCAATGAGTTTAATGCGTTAATTCGCAATGGTACATGGGAGCTCATTCCTTCACTCCCCTCTCAAAATCTTATTGGTTGTAAGTGGGTGTTTCGTATCAAACGGCATCCTGATGGCACCATTGATAGGTACAAGGCACGCTTAGTTGCCAAGGGTTTTCACCAACGTCCTGGTGTTGATTTTTCAGACACTTTCAGTCCGGTGGTCAAACCTACTACCATACGAATTGTTTTGCATCTTGCCGTGACTCATGGTTGGCCAATACGTCAGTTGGACGTTAACAATGCTTTTCTTCATGGCACACTCTGTGAAGATGTCTATATGGTCCAACCACCTGGTTTTGTTGACTCTAATCATCCATCTCATGTGTGTAAATTGAGGAAAGCTCTCTATGGCCTCAAACAGGCTCCACGGGCGTGGTACAAGGAGTTACACTCATTTTTGCTCTCCCATGGCTTTGTCAATGCCATCTCTGATGCCTCACTCTTTCTCTTCAAAAATGGGACTACTGTAATTTATTTTTTGGTTTATGTTGATGATCTACTTATTACAGGTAATAATTCCTCACTTGTGGCGAAGTTCATTCAACTCTTAGCCACTCGGTTCTCTGTCAAGGACTTGGGCTCATTACATTACTTTCTTGGTGTTGAGGTTCTTCCCACAGCAAATGGTCTATTCCTCTCTCATCAAAAGTACATTCATGATCTTCTTGTCAATGCCAAGATGGATGGTGCAAAGGCTGTCAGTACGCCCCTCTCCACAACTGACTCACTTATGCTCCATGATGGCTCCCCCCCAACGAATGCCAATCCCTACCGTTGTCTTGTTGGTGGTCTTCAATACCTAAGCCTTACACGCCCTGACATCTCCTTCGCAGTCAATAAGCTCTCCCAATTCATGCATTCTCCTTCCGAGACTCACTGGCAGGCACTCAAGCGTCTTCTTCGCTACTTGAAGGGTACCATCTCCTTTGGCCTTCATCTTTGTCGCCGCCCCTCTCATCGTCTCTATGCCTTTTCCGATGCTGACTGGGCTGGGGATCGTGATGATCGCAAGTCTATGACTGGTTATGTTGTCTACCTCGGTGGAAATCTGATCTCTTGGAGCTCCCACAAACAGCGGGCTGCTCTCGCTCCTCCACCGAAGCCGAATACCGCGCCATTGCTGCCACCACTTCTGAACTCACATGGATTCAGTCCTTATTGCGTGAACTTGGCATTCCTCTCCCCACAACACCAGTTGTCTCCTGTGATAACATTGGCGCCATGTTCTATTGCGCTAATCCTGTCCTACATTCCCGTATGAAACATATCGATATTGATTTTCAGTTTGTACGGGATCGTGTCACTCGTGGTCTTCTTCAAGTGTCTCATGTCTCAACTACTGATCAGCTTGCTGACGCTCTCACCAAACCCTTGCCGCGTCCCCGTTTCCATCTCCTTCGTTCCAAGATCGGTGTCTCCGATGGTGCCACCATCTTGCGGGGGCGTATTAGGGAATCTCCTACATCAAAGGAGATCAGCTCATCAACAACTCAATCTGCTCCATCAACAACACAATCGGCTCCTCCATATGAAAGTCAACTGTAATATATATGCTAAGCTGTCTTTCCTATTCTATTTGATTAGGATTGATTCAGTCACTTAAGTCTGATTGTATTTACCTTATTAGGATTGTATTCAAACTGTATATAATCATAGACCTGTACCTGTAAACAAATCAATGAAATATACCAATTGATCTCAGCTCTTATAGAGGCGAGGGCTATTGCGGATCGATTATTTAAAACTCATCCCCTTCTTTCAAAGATTGATAAGTCTATGGTTGGAATTCAGGTTTTGGCTGACAAGTTGGTCCAAATTCAAGCTGCTAGCATAGCTAGAAATTTGCCTGTTATTGAAAAGAAGATCAATGACAAGCTGAATTCTTACTTTTCAGAACTCAACAAATTGCCGAAAACTCTGTCAACTGTTACTGAGGCCATGACTGCTTTTATGCAGATCATTGGAGCATCCAAAGAATCACTTAAGAAGATTCTTTTGATGGGAGAATTTAACGAGTTCCCGCATGACCAACAAATGCATTGCACGGCTAGGCTGGTTGAGATGCTCGATCAGTGCTCATATCAACTTCACGGGTGCAATGCGAGTGACTCCAAAAGTAATTTCTTAATGGAGGAGATTGCGATTTTGGAGGAGGCAAAAGGTATCAACCTTCCCAATTTTGTTCAGCGCAATGCTTTTCTTATAATTTTGCAAGGAAAAGTGAAAGGGATTTCAGGCATACCTCTTGAGTTTGTTGAGCACGTTTGGAATTATATTGAGAATGTGGTTTTGTTTGTGTTAATGAGAAATACAGAAAAATATTATCAGCTTCAACCGTCTGTCAGAAGAGCATGCCAAAATTTTATTCAAAGGATGAAAGAAAGGTCCATTCATTGGATGACGGAGATTTTGGAAATGGAGAAGCTGACTGATTATACATGTAATCCGGAATATGTATCCGAATGGCATAGGCTCATGACTGAACAAGAAACATTCATCACAAAGGTATTTCGTAATACCAATGATCTGGGACTTGGACCTCACATAAAAGTAAATGAAGAGGGAATTGGGATGGTTGAAGTTGGAGATCTAATGAAGTACCCACATGTTCTATTGTCTCAAGCTTTTGACTTGAAAATGCGGATGACTGCATATTGGAATGTTGTGCTGAAAAGGTTGATTGATTCTATGGCTTTGCATTTGCAGCTGAGTGTTTCGAACCTTGTGAACAAGGACATGGAGACGGAGATTGTGAGTGAGTTAATGGGACCTAACCATGGTGTTGGGATTGAGAGGATGATGGAGGAACCTCCATCAATTGCAGTGAAGCGTGAGAAGCTCATCAAAAGCATCAAAAAGCTCAAGGAGTCTAAAGAGGTTGTGTGTAAGATCATGGATGGCATCGTTACTTTTGCCAATTAACTTATTGTGTGATAGATATAGCTAAGGAGTATAGCTAAATTATGGTCTGTTTCTTGTTAATCAAGGCATTCTGTCATTTGGTGATCTGTTTTGTACTAAATTATGAAGTCTATGTGTGTTTGCTTTTCTTTTTTTGTCTCGGGGCTTTTAGATATGTCTTTTAGCCTACGAACTCCTGGTTTCATTTGATGTATCTCGGCTTCCGCTCATGGCTTCCCTTCATCATCTTAATGGAAACTTCATCACTATTGACAAAAAAAAATAAGGTCAGAAAATAGACGTGGCAACTATAGAGACAACAACATTTGTAGAGTAGTCGTCAGCCCTATATCCACCCTTAGTTAACTCAAAAACGAGTCAAACAAGAAAACTAAATTTACAATTTTTAGATTTACATTCTCCCACTGGAGCAAAAATGTAATTTAAATGAGATGTAAAAGCGGCTTTACAACTCCAAATTTACACTTTCCCACTGTGGAAGCTCTTTGCAGATGCCCTTTCTGCATAGCGATTGTGACCAGAGAAAAAGAAAGGAAGTAGAGAGAGAGAGGGATGCAGAGAGGGATATTGTAATTGTGGTTTGGATTAAGTGGAGGTGAATGAACAAAAATGTCACTAAAAAAAAGAGCTAAGTGCGTGATTAAATTAATAGAAATGGTAAAGGGCAAATAAGAACTTCTCAAAAGCTCATGTTGATCAAACAAATAATTGAAGCCCAACATCGCTTGTATAAAAGAACCCCTACTGCTGGCTGCTTCAAACTGAACGTGGATGGGTCTCGGAAAAGCTCTAATGGAGCTATTGGAGCTGGAGGTGTGGTTCGAAACTCTGCTGGGGACTGGATCACAGGTTTTACTGTTAACCTGGGTAAGGGACAGATCTTAGATGCGGAGCTTTGGGGCTTGTTCTTTGGCCTCAAACTAGCAACTGACCAAGGTATCCCTAACCTTGTGGTTGAAATGGACTCTGCTACTGCAGTTCAGCTCCTCCAAAGATCTGGGTCACCTGACTTTCACCCTCTTGCTGGAGTAATCTCTGACTGCAGAAAGTTTATAGAGCAACTTGGAAACTGTGGTGTGTACCATGTTTACCGTGAGCAAAATTGTGTGGCTGACAGGCTAGCCCAGGCAAGCTTCAACCGTGATCTGGGCATCTGGCCCCTTGACTCTCCTCCTGACTGGATTGGCACCTTACTAGCTGAGGATGCGATGGGGACCTCTAAGTCCCGCTGGCTTTGCTTGGTTTTTTAGTTAGTTCTGTTTTTTGTGCTGGGGCCCTGCCCCCCCTACTCACCAAAAAAAAAAAAAGAATAATTGAAGGGCACAATGTGAAACACAGACCATAGTTTACGGCTATTCCTTTTTGTTTGTTTGATCTTTTTTTTTTTTAATGAGACACTTTAATGTAGGTAGGAATCTTAGAAGATATGGAAAACAAGGAATCTTAGAAGATATGAATATAGGAATATAGTTGTGAGAAAACGAGGTAGGTATTGTGTGTTTGGATACTAAGAAAAGTCTTATTAGCTCAGAGAATTTTGTGGCTAAACCCTATTCAATACTTTGGGCATTTTGGTTTATTGATTGTAGAAGGCTTGCTTGTGTTTGGTCAGTCATATCTTCTTCTTCTACAGGTGCGCTAGAGCACTTCAACCCATTTCCTTTTGCCATGGTAAAAGGGGGGCCTAGGCTCCGAAAACAACCCTCACAAAGGAAAAGTTGCGAGGACTTTTATGATATCTTGGACTCCCATGTGCCTTCAAATGTGAAGGCCTCAAAATAGTAGGAGTTCAAATTTGAGTGATTAGAATAGATGAGATCGCTATGTCATGTGCAATATAGTTGGTATCAATAACTTGGTATATTAATTGGTGGCTGTAAGATTTCCGAAAAACTGATTGAGTCTATAGGATTAGGAAAAAAAACTGTTTGAGTCCTATGTATAGATGAAAAGTTGTATTTCTGGAGGTGAAATTTCGGGTTTGAGTCTTTTACCTTTGGAGATGGTCTAAAAGTCTTCACTCGTATATTCTTGCGTTTAAATTCGTGTGATGGTGGGAACGCCGAAGAGAACTTCACTGATACTTTTGATAGTGTAGACACCATTTTGTGTTGTAACTTGTCATGCATTATTGAAGTGACTGGTTCGTGCATTTTCAGTCACTATTTGATGTACAAAAGCATAAGGTTCCTTGCGATGTAAAACAAAAACCAAAGCATAAATTCCCATACTAAGGTGAAAGATTCCTATGTCTGCATCTTTCACATTGTGCATGTCATGTTCATGTATCTTTTTTCTCTATTTATCCATGATTTCTCTGTTAGGCAGAGGTCAAGTTTGCCTAAAACAACCCCCTTCATTTTTTTCTCCTCTCTCGGTTTGTCAATGATTTCCTCCTCTGATTTGCTTTCAATTTTATCTCAGAAAATGGGAGGAAGGACAACTCAAACTGATTCAGGAAGCAGATCATCAAGCTCATCCATTTTACAAGATGATCAAGAAGGCTTATCATCTTCCTCATCAAAAGCACAGCTACTTTTCAACAACGCGCCAATTGTCTCATCCTACAACGACAAAATTCGCCCTATGCTTGATGCCATTGACAAGCTCCGCATCCTCATGGTTATGGAGGAAGGCATCCAGCTGCCCACCATTGTTGTTGTGGGAGACCAGTCATCTGGCAAATCCAGTGTTCTTGAATCCCTTGCCGGCATCAGCCTGCCGCGTGGACAAGGTATCTGCACAAGGGTTCCTCTCGTAATGAGGCTTCAGCACCACTCTGATCCTCAACCAGAGCTTTCACTGGAGTACAATGGCAGAGTTGAGCACACTGATGAGGACAAAGTTTCTGAAGACATTGTGAATGCCACTAATCTGATTGCAGGACACAAGAAGGGAATTTCAGACACCCCATTGACCTTGTTGGTGAAGAAGAATGGTGTGCCTGATTTGACCATGGTTGACCTCCCTGGAATTACTAGAGTTCCAGTTCATGGCCAGCCTGAGAATATCTATGATCAAATCAAAGATATGATCATGAAGTATATAAAACCAGATGAGAGCATCATTTTGAATGTTTTATCTGCTTCTACTGATTTTAGCACATGTGAGTCAATTAGTATGTCGCGGAGTGTGGACAAAACTGGTGAGAGGACTCTGGCTGTGGTTACAAAGGTTGATATGGCACCAGAGGGACTGCTGGAGAAGGTTACAGCTGATGATGTGGATATTGGTCTTGGCTATGTCTGTGTAAGGAACCGGATTCGAGATGAAACGTATGAGGAGGCGAGGGCTACTGCGGATCGATTATTTAAAACTCATCCCCTTCTTTCAAAGATTGATAAGTCTATGGTTGGAATTCAGGTTTTGGCTGACAAGTTGGTCCAAATTCAAGCTGCTAGCATAGCTAGAAACTTGCCTGCTATTGTAAAGAAGATCAATGACAAGCTGAATTCTTACCTTTCAGAACTCAACAACTTGCCGAAAACTCTGTCAACTGTTGCTGAGGCCATGGCTACTTTTATGCAGATCATTGGAACATCCAAAGAATCACTTAAGAAGATTCTTTTAATGGGAGAATTTGACGAGTTCCCGGATGACCAACAAGTGCCTTGCACGGCTAGGCTGGTTGAGATGCTTAATCAGTGCTCATATCAACTTCACGAGCGCAATGCGAGTGACTCCAAAAGTAATTTCTTAGTGGAGGAGATTGCGATTTTGGAGAAGGCAAAAGGTATCAACCTTCCCAATTTTGTTCAGCGCAATGCTTTTCTTATAATTTTGCGGGAAAAAGTGAAGGGGATTTCAGGCATACCTCTTGAGTTTGTTGAGAAGGTTTGGAATTATATTGAGAATGTGGTTTTGTCTGTGTTAATGAGAAAAACAGAAAAATATTATCAGCTTCAACTGTCTGCCACAAGAGCATGCCAAAATCTTATTCAAAGGATGAAAGAAAGGTCCATTCATTGGATGACGGAGATTTTGGAAATGGAGAAGCTGACTGATTATACATGTAATCCGGAATATGTATCCGAATGGCATAGGCTCATGACTGAACAAGAAACATTCATCACAAAGGTACTTCGTAATTCTTATGGTCTAGGACTTGGACCTCACACTGAGATAAAAATAAATGTAGAGGGAATTGGGATGGTTGAAGTTGGAGATCTAATGAAGTACCCACATGATCTATTGTCTGAAGCTTTCGACTTGAAAATGCGGATGAATGCATATTGGAATGTTGTGCTGAAAAGGTTGATTGATTCTATGGCTTTGCATTTGCAGCTGAGTATTTCGAACCTTGTGGACAAGGACTTGGGGATGGAGATTGTGAGTGAGTTAATGGGACCTAACCATGGTGTTGGGTTTGAGAGGATGATGGAGGAACATCCATCAATTGCAGTGAAGCGCGAGAAGCTCATCAAGAGCATCAAAAAGCTCAAGGAGTCTAAAGAGGTTGTGTGTAAGATCATGGATGGCATCGTTACTTTTGCCAATTAACTTATTGTGTGATAGATATAGCTAAGGAGTATAGCTAAATTATGGTCTGTTTCTTGTTAATCAAGGCATTCTGTCATTTGGTGATCTGTTTGTACTTAATTATGAAGTCTATGTGTTTGCTTTTCTTTTTATCTCTCGGGGCTTTTAGATATGTCTTTTAGCCTACGAACTCCTGGTTTCATTTGAAGTCTATGTGTCTGCTTTTCATCATATCTTAATGGAAACTTCATCACTATTGACCAAAAGAAATAAGGTCAGAAAATAGACGTGGCAACTATAGAGACTACAACATTTGTAGAGTAGTCGTCAGCCCTATATCCACCCTTACTCAAAAACGAGTCAAAACAAGAAAATTAAATTTACATTTTTTAGATTTGTACATTTCACCCATTGGAGCAAAAGCATAATTTACATATGCAGGAGACGTGCAAATGGGATGTAAAAGTGGCTTTACAACCCCGAATTTACACCTTCCCACTATGGAAGCTCTTAGTGGAAAGTACGTAGTGTTCGAACCATATTCCTTTTTTTCCGGTTGAAGAGCCATATTCTTCTTATTCTTTTTTTTCCCCCCAAATTAAAGAACCGTATTCCAGTTTAACCTTAATACTTTTGCTTTGGTATTTATTCCTCCATAACTTTTGGAAAGCTCCAATGTTCCCTCGTACGTCTTGTATTTCGTCCGTTTGTTGAAATGATGAGGATGCATAAATTATGCAGAGGCCCTTTCTGCATAGCGATTGTGACCAGAGAAAAAGAAAGGAAGTAGAGAGAGAGAGAGAGAGAGAGAGAGAGAGAGAGGGATATTGTAATTGTGGTTTGGATTAAGTGGAGGTGAATGAACAAAAATGTCACTAAAAAAAAAAGCTATGTGCGTGATTAAATTAATAGAAATGGTAAAGGGCAAATAAGAACTTCTCAAAAGCTCATGTTGATAAAACAAATAATTGAAGCCCAACATCGCTTGTATAAAAGAATAATTGAAGGGCACAATGTGAAACACAGACCATAGTTTACGGCTATTCCTTTTTGTTTGTTTGATCTTTTTTTTTTAATGAGACACTTTAATCACTACTAAATTTCACTGTTTGCGCGACGAGACAAATTTGTCGCGCAAAGTACAAAGTAGTCGCTCGAATAACAGCGCGACGACATAACCGTCGCGCAAACTCAGTCGCGCGAAGTCCGTAAATAAAGCCATTGCGCGACAGAACATTGCTCATTTCGTCGCGCAACAAGCTCGTTGCACCAACAGTTCAGGGACGGCTACACTGGGTCGCGCAAAAGTTTTGCGCGACGATTATGTGTTCGTCGCGCAAAACTGTGCGACGATTTGCCGTCGTCGCACAGACATTTGAGAGGCGGCATAAGAATCGTCACGCACCTTTATGCGCGACGAAAGAATAATTGTCGCACAAAGCTGGTGCGACGATTTGCCATCGTTGCACATACATTTGAGAGGCAGCATAAGAATCGTCGCTCCGCGCAAATATAGAGCGACAAAATTCTCGTCGTCGCGTTGCCTTTAGGGGACGACATTTTTCGTCGCGCAAACGTAAATATATTGTTTCTTCATTTAAATTATAAGGGTTTGTATTTTCCTGTGGATAATTTTGCGCGACGACATCACGGCATATGTTCGTCGCGCAAAATAGTAATTAAATTATTATTATTTTTTTTTTGGGGAAATTTTTGTTTGGTTTATTTATTTTTATAATTAAATGAAATGACAATAAAAAAAAATGTAATTAAGAGAAAGTTTTTGTTATAACATAATATAGAGTCAAATACAAGAAAAATGTTTCAAATGTCATAAAGAAAATAGAAAACTAATCAAACATTGTTTGATAATCTACTTGGTCTCCGATCTGGACATTGTCGACAGGGGCAGAGGTTTGATGGCCATGCTCGGGTTGGATGGGCTCAGAGGTGGATGAAGGAACAAAAGACGGTACAGGAATGCCGGACTGGGCGAGGGACTGTAAGAACGAATCCATCTGGGACATCCGGGCTTCAAGCTCGCCCATCTGGGCCACCTTTGCTTCAAGCTCGCCCATCTGGGCCACCTTGGCTTCAAGCTGGTCCATATGGGCCACCCGGGCTTGAAGCTGGTCCATCTGGGACATCCGGGCTTCAAATTGGGCCATCATTGCTGTCATAGCACTGTTTGACTGGGACGATGAACGGGATCTAGGTTCCCGCCGCCGGGCATTCCCCATCCCTCGACAATATGTCCCTGGCCGCCTCCCGAGAGTCTGCTCCAAAGCCTCCGTCAAGATCTGAAACCCTGCATCTGGTGGAGGAGCCACGGACTCGAGCGGCGTATCGGGAGGAAGCTGAGAGGCGGACTCCTGAAGAACCAACTGGCTCTTCTCAATCATGGTCATCTATTTAACATAACATAAAATATTAATTAAAACATTCATATAATAAAGTTGAAACTTGAACGTGTAAGAGAATAATTATAATTAAAGACTACTTACATGAATGGACTCCGCCAACTCATTCCCAGGTCGAACATAAACGTCGCCAAAGACATCAATCTCTGGGAATTTGGACCCCTCCTAATTGAACAAGAGAAAAAAAATTGTTAGTACAAAAAAAACAAATTAATATTAAATACATTAAAAAGTAAATAAAAATTATATAATTATTACCTGCCGCCGCGCCTCCATCCTATAGGAGAAGGGCCTGGCACCTGAATGGTGGAGAAGAGTCTTCTTCGCCCTATTGCCCTTATTTGCTTTGGCCATCTTCTGTTATACAAAAAATAAAATGTTTTAGTTGAAAATGAAATGAAAACAGAATTTTGAACTTAGTAAAAAAAAAAATACCACATAATCTGCCCCCTGAAAATGACCACAGAGCCACTCCCAACTATCCTCCCGCCCCTCAAGCTCCTTCGGGCAACCCTCCAGAAGAGCAACCTGCGGATCATCATATGCCTGAAAATGGTGGTGCAGGTTGCTCTTCCACTGCTTGTACCTATCCGCAAACAGTCTATTGATGTACCCGAACAAATCATCGTTGAGATTCTCTAAATTGTAGTTGATCTGCAATAAATTAATTACATGCATTAAGTACTAGAAATATATAAAATTGGAAGGGAAAACAATTAAAAGGTAGGATACATACCGACAGCTGTCCACGCACCTCCATCTGCACCTCGTTAGGCATGGCCTTCCAAGACTTCCATTTCATCGGACAATGGGTCCGAATGACTGAACCAACATCGTGGGCCAATGAGCTATGTTGGTCCGCAGTAGGTGCAGCCCGATGACGCTCGTCGTATCTGATGTTGATACGACTGTTGGTCACCCGAGTGAGCTTCGCCGTACTCAACTGGCGACAAGGTCCCCGGGTGTTCTTCTTGGCTGCAAAGATATATAAAATTAACGTTAATTAACAAATTAT